TGAGGGTCTCCACCTTTTTTTTTTTTAAGATGTTATTTATTTATTTGACAGAGAGAGAGACAGCAAGAGAGGGAACACAAGCAAGGGGAGTGGGAGAGGGAGAAGCAGACTCCTTGCTGAGCAGAGAACTTGATGCAGGGCTTGATCCCAGGACTCTGGGATCATGACCTGAGCCGAAGTCAGACCTTAATGACTGAGCCACCCAGGTGCCCCGAGGGTCTCCAGATCTTAACTGTTTTACAAAGAACAACGATAAAACTTCCTAAGACTGTCTCGATGTACTTATCGCCTCCATGAAGTCTACAGGAAGTAAGTCCTCAATAAAATTTGCTGACTAAGGGAATGATTCAGCGTTTCTGGGTAAATGAAAAACCTAATGAGGATAAATATGGCAAAGTCCTAAGAAAAAACTCATTAGCAAATTATACTTTGCCTAAAGTTCAACCTTGGCATAATACAAACACCAGGAAATAAACAGTGCAACTACCCGTCATTTAAATCCCTCACTTAAAATAAAAGAATTAGACTGGATGCTCCATAAGATATGTTTCTGCTCTGGAGTTTTCAGAAGTGAACTTGCTATATTAATTTCAACTTGAATTTTTTTAAATTAAATGCCACTATAAATTTATTATAAGTAACCAGGACCCCATTTGAGTGTATGCATCAACTATAAAATAATAGAAACATAAAGTTAAAGCATTTCAATGGAGATTTCAAATACAAATGCTTATTCATTTTTTAAATTTTTTTATTCATGGTTTTAACAATGTAAATGATCCTTCAAAAATTTTAAGATATTTCTTGCTAATTATGAGTACAAAAGACTCTAAATAATTGACATAATCATTGTTTAGTGCAAACAGTGCTTATAGCTCTTTAGTGCTCTCTTTCTGTGTGTGTGTGTGTGTGCATGTGTATTGGTCTCCCCACTTTGTCTGAGCTGCGTGTGTTACATGTTCTGCAAAAAGGCAAAGAAAAGTCACCAAAGGCATAAAAGAAAGAAGAAATTTTGGAGGACCATTAACTGAACATGTATACTCATTTAGAAATTATAGCTACAAACTTGTATACCCTCCTAATGTCAGAGAAAATTTTTCCTCGAGCAAAGGATAATATTCATAACACTATAATAGTCCCTTTGGTGATTTGATGCATGTTCCTGGTACCCGATTAGAAAAATTCTTTTGATAATGAATATTGCTTCAAAGCGCTGTTTCACTACTTCATTAAGAATTCCCAGATTTGGGGTGCCTGGGTGGCTCAGTGGGTTAAAGCCTCTGCTTCGGTTCAGGTCATGATCCCAGGGTCCTGGGATCAAGCCCCGCATCGGGCTCTCTGCTTGGCGGGGAGCCTGCTTCCTTTCCTCTCTCTCTGCCTGCCTCTCTGCCTTCTTATGATCTCTGTCTGTCAAATAAATAAATAAAATCTTAAAAAAAAAAAAAAGAATTCCCAGATTTGTGTGTGTGTGTGCTATATGAAATATACTCACGGAAACTGTTTTTCTGGAGATGATAAAAAGTCTAGAAAAGTATCTTGGAATGATTTACATACATGTATTTCCAGAAGCAGAGTGAGCTAATGCTCATCGCTACTTTTATCAGATCAATAATAAACTTGATTTCTGAAAAATCTGGAAAGTTACTGAATTAATATCACACTATCTTTGCCCAGAATTTTTCTCTATTCTTCAGGAGCAGAAGGGAAAAAAAAAGAAAAAAAAAAAAAACAACTATGTCTCCAAAGCATGGGTTAGAGATTCTGAGAACATGCTCTGAGGGCAAAATTGGTCTCACTCTTCAGGGCAGGCTCCAACCTCATAGGTGGAGTTTAGTAATCCCACTCGTGGATGTTTTAATTTAAAGGACCAAGGATCCTAGACAGTCACCGACTGCTGTAACCAAATGTGTCTACATCCTCTCTTCTGAATGCATCATGAGCATTTCCTTCCCAACACTACCTCTCCTCATTCCCTTCTCCCCACCGCTGTGCCTCTCTACTCCTTGAAAGAATTCCCTGCTCCCCAAAGTGTCCCCATCACACAGAAACGGATCAAGTTGCTCCTTTCCATAAAATCCCGCTTTTCATTTTAAAGGCTGAAATAGGCACAGTATTTACTATCTGCATATTCCACAGTCAAATATTTCATTGAAACGCTTTGTTTTTCTGCATGAGCATCTCGCCTGGCAATTTTCTGTGGACAGAGACCGTGTACAATCACTTCCCTGTATCACTCATAATGCTCCCTATAGTGGGTCACTTGTACAAAATGCCTGATGGATATTTGTTAAACGAATGCATCAATGAAAGCCATAACTTATGTGTTACCTTACTTTTTAAACCATCAACCTATTCATTTGTGGTCCACAAAAAGTGCTCAATAAATCTTTATTGATTAATTAATTACTTTACTGTTGAGTTAGAGACTGTAGAATTAACAATAAAAGATTATGATTATAACCTAGTATTTGTTATTTTAAATTGATAATATTTAAATAATATAAAATACCTAAAGCACTTTGTGTAATTCCACAGAAGCCATGCTATGAACACTACCCCTGGGATTCATTTCTAAAGAAGACAAACATTTTCTTCCTTCCTTCATGCCTGGTGAGGGTATAAGGCATATGTTTTGTTCCTAGTCAGTCTTTCCTACCTCTAACACATAGTTGACAAGAATTCATAAATTTGAGTTTGAATAGTGATAGCAATTAGGAAGAAGCCTTTTAATTCAAGGCTACCAAGTCCCTGGCATAAATATATTCTGGATTTGTTCTGACCTTTCTGAAAATGTTGCATATATTTGCTGCATGTTTGCATGTGCTCTGCCTGGCATTACACTAAGCATGTGAAGTTAAATGTCACTGGGCCTAGATCTCTAAGCCACCTTAGTTTATGACATTATTTGGGATATAATCACAGTGAACAAATCTGTTCCACAAGAACTATTTAAAAGGTAGACATGCAAATTGTTTGGTAATTCTTTGTGAAAACATTTCTACTGATGCCATGTCCTTTTTTTCTCTCTTCTCCTCCCCAAATATCTTTTACTTGTATTTATTTAGGTTTCAGATGAGAACTGTAGGGCAGATCACATAACAATTTATATCTCTATAATCAGAAAAATATCTTAGTCTAATGTCTAATCAAATTGCTAATACTGAATGTTTAATTTTAAAAATTAATTTTAAAAATTAAAAGCTTTTGCTTTTAATATAAATGGCCAAATGACACAAAAAGACACCAAATAGAATTTTAAAGATGAGAAACTGATAAAATTATTGAAACTATTCATAAAATATTCGTCCTTTTACTTCTCCATTAAACCACTCGCCCCCTAAAAAATTTTATCTTTAGGAGAATAATCCTTTGGTCGCTGGACTTCCACTTTTCTCCCTCAGTCTTTCCACTACTTAAGCATGCTAGAAACTCTCTTTAATCATCTTTTTCTTTAAAGATTTTATTTATTTGAGAGAGAGAGAGAAAGCACGAGCAGGGGGAGGAGCAGAGGAGGCAGGGAGCCCCCTGGGGGAGGTGCAATCCCAGGACCCTGAGATGATCACCTAAGCAGAAGGCAGACGCTTACTTGACTGATCCCCCCAGGTGTCCCTCTTTCATCATCCTCTATGTCAAGCATCAGGCACAATGCCTGGCACACTGTAGGCACTCAATAATTGTTTGATCAGTGAATAAATGAGAATCTTTTGAAGTTACACAAGTGAGCTAAAATCTTTTGAGGACGGGTGATAAAAAAAATTCGCATCAAAGGATAAAGTAGTCTTTGAAGTTGAATCTGTCTATGAATCTAAAAATTCAAAGGCCCTTCTATGTTACCCCAACATTTGTTTTATATCCATACCACTTTGAAACAATAATTTTATTTTATCTACCTTTTTAATTTCCTTCAGTCACAATCAGGAAAGACTGAGAAAGCGGTCTGTGTTCACGTAAGCCTGTGAACTATCGCCTGTTGCAAACTCGGGCAACAATCTGTTGTATTAGGACAGTCTTATCCTCATGTATCCTCACATTCTCAATAATTAAGAGGAAAACTGATTCAAAGTTCAAAGCTGAATTCAAACTGATACAACTTCGTAAGAATTTTAAATCTAGACCAAGATAATTTACTTTCTTGTTTTTTTTTCACTGTTCCATAATAACATTTAGAAAATCAAAAGTACTTCGAATCCCTCAGAAGAAAAGTATTATTCTCATAAATTTTAAATAGTCACCTCATAGCACGGTAATAAGCACTGTGCTAGTTTATGGAGTAAAATATGTTTCTATCATTTCTTGTATCTGAACAGGTGGTGTCTTTTCTCATTTTTAAACGTATGTAACTTTCAGCATTTTCCTCTCGACTCTCAACTTTCAGCATTTTCCTCCTCTCCTACTGTGGTACCAGTAAGTGCCAAGGTCAGTCACATTGCTCGGTGCTAAATCTGCCACAGCCGCTCCCCTGCCACCCCAGCCTCTGGACGCAGGAGTCCCCAACCCCTGAAGTTCAGAGGAACAGCTCGCTTTTGGTTCTCTGGACCTGATCAACTTTGTTCTGGTGCCAACTACCAATTTTTCCATCAAATTCTAGTGTTGTGCCTGAATCCAGCCTCACTGTGGCATCCTGTTTCTCTGCATATTCAAGACTTGGCTGTAGCCTTGAACTTCTGTCTGGAGTGAGTAATAGGATACAACCCTGAGTGAGGTCCAAGGCCACGTCACCCTTCCCTAGCAGTTTGACTGCCTTGTCCCTCCCCATCCTCCGTTCAAATCACATCGCTGTTTTAGCCCCCACAGTTGTCACCAGCCCTGGCCCGGACTAGGTGCCCTAGAGATGACATGGCAGCAGCAGAGAGCCACCCTGTCCGTGACAACTGCTCAATGGACCCATGAAAATCATACAGTTTGTAACTGTCCCTTAGTGGAACATACAGTGTTGCTGAAATCAAACAGAAATTATATAACCAATATCATTTTAGAAAACGACATCATTCTTTTTCACTTTGTGTCACTTTCACATAAAAACTGTATGCCTCATCTTCATGGAGGGGCCATGCAAATCTTCTCTGTATCGTTCCAATGTTAGTACACGTGCTGCTGAAGCAAGCACTTACAAATTTTTAAAAATCAAAACAAAGAGGGTGGAAATTGAGCAATATTATTTTTTAGTGAGCTGCATGGTTCCTAGGGTATGATTCTAAAAGCAGTAAAAAGATGTTCTTGCTAAAAAGGGTAACTGATACAGACTCTCTAACTTTTCAGCTGCAAACTGTTGAAACTACCGACTCACTAACTCAAAATAACCTTATGAATTTCCTTCATGCCTATGTGAACTATCATTTAAAAGTTAAAACTAAGCATTTTCTTCTTTTGGAATTTACACATTTCAGGGCATTTTATGCACTGGGCTTGATCCTATCTTCAGAGCAGAGGAACCATACTCAGAGCTCTCAGTGAACACAGAGAGGAACTTGTTGGCATGCTCAGAACGTTGGGGAGAAAAAAAGCAGAAAAGATTGCCCAGTGGTGCTAAGAGAAGCCTAGAGGAGCTTATTTCTCAACCGTCTCAAGAATCTGTTATCTGTTCACTAAAATACATAAATACAAATTAAAATAGATGGATTGATAAATAAAACTTTCTAGAGCCAGATAATCATCAACCACCAAGGTAAGGAACTCCACGTGACATCAAGCTACACTGGAAAAACTGAGGCCAAAATTTCAAGAATCTAATGTGAAAAAAATGAGATCCTAAGAGTGAGGCTGGCAAGAAAGATGGAGCTCAGAACCTGGAGGCTACAGTATACCTGGAAGGACTGAACAGGTTCTTGAGCTGTCCCCCCACACTCTGGTTTCGAGCACAACAACTGGCAGTGTAGGACCCAGGACACCCCACATGCTCGCCCACTCAGCCTTTGCTGTACACAGCTTGGAGGTGCTTGAAAGAGCTGCTTGGGAGTCACTGCAATGAGTCAGCACATTAAAGCTGACTCTACAGTTATTTGATTTAGAGCCAGTCTTGCTTGTGACCCCAGGTCACCCAAACCCAACGGCTGCAGAGACCAGCTGAGCAGAGTCAGTGCAAACCTGTCCCTCTGGCTGGCATTTGTTCAGTTAACAGGAATCGGTGGTCAATCCTAAACCAGCGTTCCCTCTCTTAAGTCTTTTTTCATGCCAGAAATTTGCTGATAGGTTTTGGAAAATGGCTTGATGATATGCCACTAATGGCATCCTAAATTTTGTGGGGCTGTGTTGTTGTTAATAAAAGGTCTGTTTTTCATGAATTTAAATGAACTGACAACAACTCATGGAGCTTAAAAGAAGTCAAATTTTACCTGCCAAACATTTCCTAACATATACTCCAGAGCAAAATAAATATGGAAATCTCTATGTCTTTTCAAAGCAGAAGATTCAAATGTATTGTTCTTCTTGAGGGTAAATCTTTCACATTATTATCTTCCAGAATTTCAAATGTAACAGGAAAATGTGAGATCAGTATCCTAAACCACTTCCACAGATAAGATTAGATTATTATTTTTTTAAAAGATTAACACATCAGCTTGTTCTGGGCTTCCATATAAAGAGTATTTACTATAATGTCAACTACTTGCTCAATAAACTTGAATTCTTAACTTTTCCTTCATGGCTTGGGTAAGATGTTGTGATTTCCAAGTCAAAAGCTAGCCAAACACACCAGACAGGAGAAAACACTGCACCTACAGCAATGGCTTGAGACTCAGCAGGATAAGAAACATCTTTATATGAACACACTTTTAAAAATACAGAGTCAACTGAGACAATGAATGGGGGCAGGTAAAATGGAAGACAACATGGAGAGCCAATGGGGGATTCTGGCATCTCTTTGCAACACAGTAGACCACAACAATAGCCCTGATTTCTTTGGTGGAAAAGTGTGACTTTGCCCCTCTCCAGGAGACTGAGGTCACAGCACTTTGAGCAGAAACCGCAGATTTCAGGGGCACTTGGTTTGCATCCTTGGGCTGAGATGAAAATGACATTTACCCATCTCCAGGCTTTTGCTTATGGTCTTTCCAGAGTCAGTGAAGAATGGGGGCAAGGTTATTAACCTCCGGTGTATCAGGCAGTAGAGAAAGAGTCTGCAAATTGCAGTACCCGCCAATCCTACTTTTCCATCCCCAAACCCAAGCTCCATGTTTCTTCCTCCAGCAGACAGTGCAGGTAGAGGTCAGGTGTTCAAAAGTGCTACTGAAAGGCTCCCTCTTCTCTGCTGTGACATTTTTTGGCATCTTGTCAGTTGGCTACCCAGTCTGGGTATTCACTTTGTAGAATGAATTAATGTATAAGAAATTTGCTGATGGATGCAGGCTCAGCACTCTTAATATTAGGAAATGACAAAATTTACTTATTGAATTTGTTTTTTTAATTGTCCTCCTTTAGAAAGGAAAGCCTTCCATGCCTCCCATCTCCCTTGATACTACCACAAAGACAGCAGTCGCCCTGACTGGCCTATTCGCATGAAGAGACCATACAAAGGCAAATGGAGGTGCGCATCTCATTCCACGGTTTTCTCCTGAGGGTATTGCTTACTTCCAGATGGGTAAATAGTTTGCCCCAAATGAAACCAAACACCCAAGAAAGATGACCCTTGAAAAAAAGCATTTGGAACCAGATAAAAGAAGGAGGACAAGGCCTCTGAGGGGGTCTCGCTAACACAGTGCTGAATCTCACACGACATTCATAAATTCATGAATTGCGTGTTTTACAACATTTTACCAAGGCATTATTTTCTAATAAACCTCCTTTTGTTTTGCATTCTTTTTGCTTATAATATGCAAAAAAGAAAAGCACAATGGCTGGAAATTCTGTCTCTGTGATCTGAAGTGCTCTCACTTGCATGCTGAGAAGTGTTATAATGAATATTTTTGGCATCAGCTGCTGATAGCAGCTTGGTACTAGCAGCACTTGATTCAAAATGTCATATGATACAATAATACACAAATCAAGCGCACAGAGTGGGGAAAAATCGTGCAACCTGTCATAGGTAGACCAATTTCTCATGAGTATTCAGGGAGAGAAATGTAGAAGTAGAAACCTGAAATCTGAAAAAATAAAATAAAATAAACACTTAACATCCACAAACACGAGAAAAAAATTATTAACAAATGGAACATAGCAATTTTTATGTACTCACAACACCAGTGGTTTCTTTAGTCAAAACTCGACGGCATCATCTATGAACAATCTGGTACAGCGAAAGTGCTGGAGCCAATGAGAAAGCATATCTGCTTAATACGATCAAATCCACTTCCTATTTGTGTTTGAGTAGTTGAACAGTTACTGGTAGCGGGCTGACAGTCTGTGCTAGCCACTCCTCTCTTTTTGTTTCCACTGTTTTCCTAACTGTTCAAACATGTGTTTGTTTTCCTTGAATCAATTAGTGATATTGTCCCAACATACCTTTTTTAAAAGATTTTTATTTATTTTTAAGATAGAGTGAGAGCGATCGAGCAGGAGCAGAGAGAACAGAGGCAGAAGGAGATGCAGGCAGAGGGAGAAGCAGGCTCCCCGCTGAGCAGGGAGCCCGATGTGGGGCTCCATCCCAGGACCCTGGGATCATGACCTGAGCCGAATATAGTTGGTTAACTGACTGAGCCACCAGGCAGCCCCATCCCAACATATTTTTTGTTTCATATTTATATTTTGACTGCCTTTGTCCAAGTCCTGGCTCCCCAAAACCATCCAGATGATCTCAGTCATTTTTCCCTCTGTGCCTCAGTTCCTTTGTCTTGCTAAGGCCATGGTGGGGACTGATGAGTTAGGGTGGCGCTTAGGGCCACATCTGGTATACAGGAAGCTCTTTGTTCCTGTTCCCATCTTGAAAGTAGAAGTTTTTTAATGTGATTACTTATTAATTATTCAAAGTATATTAATGTATCCATTTTTACTTGTTTCTCTCCCCACCAGTCTATGGATTACTTTAATTCAAGTAATTGGTTTGATTATTTTAAATTGACCATCCATAGAATTTCAAAACCAGAAAGAATCCTAAAAATCATGTTATCCAGCTTTCATTTTGTACAGTACATTCTTAATCATCATGATCATTGTCATCAGGCTTTTGTGAAACAACTAATTGCACTTCTCAGGGACTCTGATGCCGCTGAAGTACATTTGTAATCTAAGCTGTGGGCATGGAGATGTTTTCAACAGTATCGACAAATTCACTCTCTTTGTCTCTCCTTCCGATTCACTTTTTTTAATAGCAGGAATCTTCACCACACCCTGCATTGTGGTATAGCCTCTGGTATAGGTGGAAAGGATTTCTGTAGACTTTTCCTTGCCCCTATGCAGACATCCACTCTTTCTTTTCCTTTAACTGTCCAGCCCTCTGTGGTTTGTAATCCATTTTATTTGCATGATTACCATGCACTGGATCCTGAAAAGACTTTTCTGAGGGCAGGGGCAAGGCAGCTATAATTGTCTCCTCATCAACACCCCCCAGCCACCTACAGGAAACTGGGAGTCAAAGGTTAGGATCTTGCCCAGGGTGGTAGTATTAGAAGTGCCAGAGAGACCTGAAAAGCACAGGCTATAGGATTTCTTATCCAAAGGTGTTTTCACTGTACCATGCTGCTTGTCCCCAAATGTTGTTCCACATCACCATATTGGTGGACGCAAACATCCTAGCAATGGGCAGAGAACCAAAACAACCTAGGAACAGAAAAATAATGCCTGAATGGGCAGTAAACTATTTACTTGTTCAGCTGCTTAAAGTCAAGCTCACACTGAAACTGTCACTCTGATGCAGATTTGAGGGAGACAGATGCATAAGTTCCACATTAAGCCAAGACAGGGTTGAAAAATAAAGTCCTTTGGGGCTATAGAAGAGAAAATATTGAAAGAATGGGTGTTAACCTTATTTTCCTATTAACAATGTAGATCTGAGTTTAAACTTCCAGGACTCTTTCTGTTATTTTTTAAGGGTTAGGAAATCATTATTGTTTAAGTAAGGTAAGTGAATTTCAATTCTGAAATGAAAAGTTTTCACATTCTCATCACAGAAATTTTAGTAAAAGGAAGTCTGTGTCATATCCTCATGATATCTCCAGGCCCACAAAGGCAACAGAT